ACCAAAAAAAAAAAAGAGTTTGAGAAGTTAGAGGGTTGATATGTTGTGGGGTTGTTAACCAATGTCATAAAACAACATGTGTACTTCTGTTTCATGAGAAACTATTTGCTCTGTAAGCCTTCACCTGAAGTACAATAAAAAATAAAATAAAATAAAATAAATTTTTTTTCACCCAACACACTACATCCTACTGGCCAACTCTGTCTGCTGAAATGTTGGGAGTCTCTGGGCAGTATTAGCCACCCTGGAAACCAGAAAAAACTATGGCACCTACTTGATCTCAGACTGTCCACACGGCCTCTTCCGACCGAGGTTGAGCAGGTCTTTGCCATATTTCTCTTCAACTGCTGCCCTAAGGGGAACAGAAGAGAGGGTGATGAGTCCTTCTCAGGGATGACTCATAGCTAAGACACACATGGCACTCCCCTTGAAGACAACTGCACCTTTGACAGTAGATGCTCAGCTATAATGACATTCTCTAAACTGCAGTCCTCTAACTTACAAAAAGACCAGAAGATCTCCATATACACGGTCGTCTTCGCCAGCTAGAGGTTCACACCATGGACTCTATAGCAAAACCGGGCATAGCTCCCTAGACACCACAGGTTATTATTTTACAAACTATTTTTTTTTATTGTACTTTAGGTGAAGGTTTACAGAACAAATAGTTTCTTTTTAAACAGTCAGTACACATATTGTTTTATGACATTGGTTAACAACCCCACGATATGTCAACCCTCTCCCTTCTCGGCCTTGGAGGACCTTTTTTTTTTGGGGGGGGGGTGGAAATATACATAGCCAAAGATACACCATTTCAAAAATTTCTACGTGCACAATTCAGTGATGTCGATTACGTTCTTCCAGTTGTGCTGCTATTCTCACTTTAAATGAAGGTTTACAGAACAAAATAGTTCCTCATTAAACAGTTAGTACACATATTGCCCTATGACAATGGTTAACAACCCCACTACATGTCAACACTGTCTTACTCAACCTTGGGTTCTCTATCACCGGCTTTCCTGTCCCCTTCTGCCTTTTAGTCCTTGTACAGATAATTTTTCAAAACCATCATCCAAGAATTAAAAAGAAAAAGGTGGGGTAGAGATATTTCCATCAAATGCTATACCCCTAAGGCCCAACCTTCCTCCCATCTTCCCTAAGCCTGCCCTTTCAGTTCAAATACACATGTAAACTGTGCCAGAAAGAGTGGGAACTTCAGAATATAAACTCTACAGTTGCTATGTCTCACAAAAACAGCTGATTGTTACTCAGTGTTGCACGAATCTAAAGCAATAAACATTCTCTGCCCCCACTCCATGTTCTCTGTCACCATATCCACTTTTTGTCCCAGCCTTAATCTTATCTGAACTATATTACTAGTTTAAGGCACTTTACGCTAGTCTAAGGAGCCCTGGTAGCACAATGGTTAGGCTCTTGGCTGCTAACCAAAAGGTTGGCAGTTTGAACTCACCAGAGGCTCGGCGGGAGAAAGACCTGGTGATTTGCTCCCATAAAGATTACAGCCTAGAAAAGCCTATAGGGCAGTTCTACTCTGTCACATGAGTCGCTATGAGTCAACAATAACAACAACACGCTAGTTGTCTTAGTTATCTAGGGCTGCTGTAACAGAAACACCACAAGTGGATGGCTTTAACAAAGAGAAATTTATTCTCTCACAGTCTAGAAGGCTAGAAGTCCAAATTCAGGGCACCAGCTCCAGGGGAAGGCTTTCCTTCTGTGTCAGTTCTGGGGGAAGGTGCTTGTCATCAATCTTCCCCTGGTCTAGGAGCTTCTCAGTGCAGGGACTCCAGGTTCAAAGGACATGCTGCTTCTGGTGCTTCCTTCTTGGTGGCATGAGGGCCCTCTCTTCTCAGTTCGCTTCTCTCTTTTATATCTCATAGAGATTGTCTGAAGACACAACCTAATCATGGACATTGTGTCTTGCCTCATTAATATAACTGCCTCTAATCCTGCCTCATCAATATCATAGAGATTGGGATTTACAACACATAGAATACTCACATCAGGTCACAAAATGGTGGACAAATACACAATACTGGGAATTATGGCCAAGCCAAGTTGAGACACATTTTTGGGAGAAAAAACTCAATCCATAACACTAGTCTACCCCACTTTCTTTAAAATCTTAAAAATTATACAAGTAATAAATGAATACATTCTCACTGCAAAAGATTCAAGCAACACAAAACTATATAGAACAATACACAAAGGTGCCCCTTCATGCTCTTCTCCAATTCCACTTCTTTCCCCAGGGATAGTCACTGTTTATTTGACACAGGAAAAATCACTTCCTAATTGACCCTTCTAAGGTTAAGAAAAGTTTATGAAAATGATTAAGAGGATACTTGCTTCAGGCTTAGACTGTTTTAGATGTTTGACAGCACCCTGTGGAGAATGAGATGATTAGCACTATTGCCCACTTCCCGTATCCTTAAAAAGAAAGGAAGTTGTAATGGGATGCCATCACTATCAACCGTCTTGAGTATAAAAGAGGGATGTTGGTCCCCGCAAAGAAGGAGGAAAAATGGCCAGCTTCTCTCTCTGTCCACCCCTCCTAAGACACATAGTACCATGGATTGAATTGTGTCCCCCTGAAACATGTGTTGTAAATCCTAACTTCTATGCCTGTGGTTATAATCCCATTTGGGAATGGACTGTCTTTATTATATTAATGAGACAGGATTAATGTAGGGTGTGTCTTGAGTCACTCTCTTTCAAGATATAAGAGATTAAATAAGAGAACAGAAACAGAGATGAGGTAAGATAAATGCCAAGACATATGGAGATCTCCAAGGAACTAGAAAGCAGAAGCTGAAGAGACGAAGACCTTCCTCCAGAGCCAACAGAGAGAAAAAGGCTTTCCCTAAAACCAATGTTCTTAATTTAGACTTTTAGCTTTCTAAACCATGAGAAAATAAATTTCTGTTTGTTAAAGCCATCCACTTGTGGTATTTCTGTTATAGCAGCACTAGACAGAAGCTGGTACTGGAAGAGTGGGGTGCTGCTCTAACAGATACCTAACATGTGGAAGCGGTTTTAGAATTGGGTAATGGGTAGAAGCTGGAAGAGCTTTAAGGTGCCTAATAGTAAAAGCCTAGATTGCCTTGAAGAGACTGTTGGTAGAATTATGGACATCAAAGATGATTCTGGTGGGGGCTCAGAAAGAAGTGAGGAAGGCTATAGAGAAAGTCTCTATCATCTTATTACATATGACACCAGCAAGAGAAAGTTGCCAGAAATGTGGACATTAAATGTGCTTCTGGTGAGGTGTTAAAAGAAAATGATGAATATGTGATTATACAATGGAGGAAGGGTGATGCTTTTTATGCAGTGGCAAACAACTTGTCTGAACTATGTTCAAATGTTTGCTGGAAGGTAGAACTTGTAAGTGATGAAATTGGATATTTGGCTAATGAGATTTCTAAGCAAGATCTTAAAGGGGGCGCATGGTAAAATGCAAGAGGAAAGAGATAGACTTAAAAATGAACTGTGCAAAATGAAAACACAATTTAAAGATCTGGAAAATTTTGTTGTACAAACTAAGGACACATGTCCTAGGATGTTCACCAAGGACGCGGCTACACAATCTTTTGTTAAAGAGATTAAGCTTATGACTGATGGATCTAACTACCACAGCAGAAAACCTATCAGCTTAGACTGAAGGGGACAGAGAAAGAACGAAAAGAAAGAACGTTGTTTGCCTCTTGGAATTCTACAGGCAAGAAACAGACCAAAGGAGCTACATCTGTTGTCCTCCAAGAAAAGATAAGGATCATCCCTGAAACAGCACAGAGGTCAACATAACTGTTGGAAGGGGCATGGGAAGCAGGGCCTTCTTGGTTTCAAAGGATGGGGCTATGGTCTCCTGGACCTCAAAGGGTGGGGCCACAGCCTCCCAGGTTTCAAAGAGTCTGATTTTCACCAACTCGGTTCTGGAGTGTGGGGCTGCCATTAAGGTGTGTCAGGGGAATGGGGTTGCTGCCCAAAGTTGAGGGGGTGGGACTGCCAGAACCAAGGGGATAGGGTCATCACTCAGATGGACTAGGAGAATGAGGCCACCCAAAGCTGACGGAGTAGAGTTGCCATCCCAGTGGGCCTGGAAGGTAGGGCTGAAGCCCAGAGCCAAGGGGCCTCCACCCAGAATCCAGAGGGCATGGCCAACACCCACAGTCTGGAGGATGGGGCCATTACCCAGATGTTCTCAGAGAGGTGAGGATTATTTTCAAGGTTTGAGAGCTAATGTAAATTGTTCTGCTGGGTTTTAGACTTGCTTGGTGCCCTTATCCCTTCTTTCCCTCCAGTTGCTCCCATTTGTAATGGAAATGCCTACCTTGTGTGCATTCCACCATTGTACTTTGGAAACAGATAACTTGCAGTCTGATTTTACAGGTTTACAGATAAAGCAGAATTTTGCCCCAGGATGGAATACATCTAAAGTCTCACCCATATTTGAGTTAGATGATTTGGAAGATGAGATTTTGGACTTGGAGTTGATTTAAGACTTTTGCAATGATGTGATGGGGTCAATGTGTTTTGCATGTGGCAAGGACGTGAATTTTGGGGGGCCAAAGGGTGGAATGTTATGGATTGAATTGTGTCCCCCAAACATATGTGTTGTAAATCCTAACCTCCATGCCTGTCATTATAATCCCATTTAGAATGGATTGTCTTTGTTATGTTAATGAAACAAGATTAATGCAGGGTATATCTTGGGTCAATCTTTTTGTTTAATTTTTTATTGTACTTTAAATGAAGGTTTACAGAGCAAATAGTTTCTCATTAAACAACTAATACACATACTGTTTTGTGACATTGGTTGCCAACCCCATGACATGTCAACACTACCCTTGTCGACCTTGGGTTCCCCATTACTAGCTTTCCTGTCCACTCCTGTCTTCTAGTCCTTGCCCCTGGGCTGGTGCGCCCATTTAGTCTCGTTGCCTTCCCCTAGAGCTAATGCTCTGAGTTGAAACTTCTAGCCTCATAAACTGTGAGGAAATAAATTTCTGTTTGTTAAAGCCATCCATTTGTGCTATTTCTGTTATAGCAGCACTAAATAACTAAGACACACAGCATGGCAGTGTTCCAGTCCCCTCAGATCTTTGTAATAGCTCAAAGACAGAGGCCTTATTATAGAGGGCTAGGCAACCAGTGTGATAAGTTGGATCATTACCTAATATTCTCTTGAGAAGAAAATAGAGAGACTTTATTGAAAACACTCTGATGTCTCCAGGTTCTGAACTTGTCATTCACTGCCTCACAACTAGAGCCTGTTAATTTTTTTGGGTACTGGTAAGGGTCCTGATCTTTGGCCAAAATCCCCCCTCAAGCACTCCTTCATCCAGAAATGGACTATTCTGGATGAATAAGATTTTCCACAAAACTAACTTACCCCATTAAGTATAGAATAAAAAAAAAAAAAAAACTTATCCACTAAAAAAAGAAAAGAAAGAAAATCCTCTAAACCATGCCAGTTTCCCATGAACCACCAAGCTCTGCTGCCTGCTGTCCATTCTAAAATCTGCCCTCCACACTTCCCACAACTCCCTCACCCTCAGCCAGCTCCGAATCAGGGTCTGCCCACCTCTCATTCCTGCCTCCCAGCCAGGGGCTGATTACCCAGTAAGCAAGGTAAGCACAGGTTTACTTGTGCTTACTTACTAATCTATCGTGAAAAATTTCACATGGGTTTCACCACATCTTTATGAAATTGGTCACTACAGATTAGTAAATTAACACAAGTAAACCTGTGCTTACCTTGCTCACTAGGTAGGTAATCCATCCCTATCAGGGACTGTAAATTTGAAAAGAGGCTTTGATTCTGTAGGAAGGTGCTGTAGCGCTGGGAGAGATACAGATTCCAGCCATACCTAGAAGCAGAATCTTTGATGATGTGGTGAAAAATGTGAAACTGTTCATTAAAAATGATCTGGTAAGCAAGGTAAGCACTATGCTTACCTTGCCTATTGGATAATCCACCCCTGCTCCCAGCTCCCTTGCTCTCCCACAGGTATCTGGATACTTCTAATTTAGGAAATAATATTTGGAATCATTATTCCCTGACCTTGAGCATGGAGAAATGTGACTCAGCTGGGGCTGGCCCTTCACAGACTCACAGAGACACATCAAATGGGCCCTGAGATAGATAATAGATGGGAGGATCTCAGAAATTATCTTAAGGAAGTTTTCACAAAAGCCCATCAAACAGAACACAAAAGACTTTCCACTCTTATCTTTTTCTGTTAGCATTTAGTGAATAGAAATTTGCTGGACCAATGAAGACCCTCCTGACTGTCGTTACTGAAATCCAATGATTGTTAAGAAAGACAATTCAAAATGTAGGATCACAGTTTCTAGCCAATCTGAAAAGGCTAAGCTTTCAATGGTTTTGCCCATTTGTAACGTTAATATATACTGATGACTCTGTAATGGTTCTCTGGACTCGGGCAGACATGGCTGTGGCAGCATGCTTGTTTATTCCCCACTTTTGTTTGTTCTGTGATACTTCTTTGGACTCAGGCAGACATGGCTGTGGCAGCATGCTTATCCGTTTTCCCATTCTTGCCTATTCTGTAATATTCTTTGGTCTTGGGCAGACATGGCTGTAACAGCATGCTTATCTGTTTTCCCACTTTTGTCTGTTCTGTGATATTTCCTTGGACTCAGGCAGACATGGCTCTGGCAGCATGGTTGTCCACTTCCCACTTCTGCCCTTTTTGAATATATGCCGAATAAAACTTTCTTTTTGCTTTACTAAACTTTACGATGTTTTTCCCCTACAACGCTCCTTCCCCTATCAAATCCACCTCACCCTCTGAAGGCCACCTCAAGGATCTCCTCCTCCGTGAAGCTGTCTCTTTTTCTGTTGACAAATCTTCACAATCTCCCATTCCCCTGAGGCTTTTCAGTGTTAGGTGGACCACACCACGTAGTATGTTAATATATTTTGTTTGCTTTATCATTCATAAATCTTATTTCCCAAACTGGTTTCTAAGAACCTTAGTGCAAGGTAATCATTTACTTCTTGGGTACCATTCCACAGCTGATAGCAGGAGATCTTGTGAACCATTAAAAACAAAATAAAAAACAGTTCATTGTTCCTCATTCACATAGGAGAATCTTCCCTCCACCCTTCCATCACCCCCCCCCCACCCCTAGGTCTTCAGAGAGGAAACATCATTTTACCTTTCTTTTAAAAAGTCTTCAAACTCTTTGCAGTTCTTGCGGCCATTGTTCAGATGCTGGACAATGTTGTCATAGCCAATGGTGCTGAGGATGTCCGAACTCTGCAGAAATGAAAACGACAACATATGTCAACAAGGAAGGGCGTGGACAGCAGCCTTGAGGCCTGAGGAGTGGAGGGGAGTCGGGGAAGATGGGGAAGAGGTCAATAAGAGGTTTCTGGAAATATTTACCTTCTCACAAGACCAAGAAGAACAAAATAGAAGAAGTTAAGAGCACACATAGCTGTAGAAGAGTTTTTAAAATTATGAAACTGAAGGGCCACAGAACAGGAAGTAAATTGCAGAGGATTAAGAGGCATGTGGATGAGGGAGCTGGCTGAGCTCAGTCTCTCTCTGCTGTCAATGCATGGGCTAAATCATGGAGGAGATGGAGAAGGAATCAAGTGTAGGGTGCCCACACCCTGCCTTCTGGATTGTGCTGCTTCATACTGCTGAGTGGAAACTGACCTACATTATAGGTCCGTTTTAACTGAGAGCTATAAAAATTTCCCATCACCTGCCTGTCAGTTTGTCTTATGTGGTGGCTTACATGTTGCTGTGATGCTGGAAGGTATGCCAGCAGAATATCAAATACAAGCAGGGTTACCACGGTGAACAGGTTTCAGCGGAGCTTCTAGACAAAGCCAGACTAGGAAAAGGACTGGTGATTTACTTCCGAAAATTAGCCAAAGAAAACACCATGGATCATAATAGAATATTATCTGATACAGTGCTGGAAGATGAGCCTCTAGGTTAGAAGACACTCAAAATACACATGGCCTCGATAATGGACTGGAGCATGTGAACAGTTGTGAAGATGGCGCAGGACTAGGCTACATTTCATTCTGTTGTACATAAAGGTTGCCATAAGTCAGAGCCAACTCAATTGCAACTAACAACAACAAAATTTTCACTTGGTCCTTAAACTTGCCACAGAGCTTCACCCTGATATTTCTTCCCACAGCCAGTTAGCCCCATCTGAGGGTCAAGGGCATCTCTGCAAAAAATAAGCAGCTCTCAGCTGAGAGAGACCCTGGGAGTGGGAGAGTGGGGCTGGCTTTCCACTGTCAGCAGGATGGGCATCCCAGCATCCTGCATGCTCCTGTGGTCACTGACCCCAGTTTTGGAGAAGGGAACTTTTTTTTGTAATTAGCATCTTATTCGTATTTTATTCTACTGTGCACTCTGAGGCTGAAGGAAGTTGCCTCTACTGTGCTAAGTCCCCTAAACAAGTAGCCCCAGATGCAGTACATTTAAAAAATCAAAGTTCCCTTGGCTGTACAAACCAACAAATCAAGGGCTGTAAACAATATTAGGCGATATTAAAGGTTGGATGGCAGGCTTCTCACCTCCCATGCAGGAGATCCGGGTTTGATTCCCGGCCAGTGCATCTCATGCGCAACCACCACCTGTCTGTCAGTGGTAACTTGCGTGTTGCTATGATGCTGAACGGGTTTCAGTGGAGCTCCCAGATTAAGACAAATTAGGAAGAAAAGTCTGGTGATCTACTTCCAAACATCAGCCAATGAAAACCCTATGGATCACAATGGTCCGATCCACAATCGATCGTGGGAATGGCAGAGGACCGGGTAGCATTTTGTTCCATTATGCTTGGGGTTGCATTCAACGACAGCAAACAACAATAAACAATATCAGAGTATCCCCCAAGGACTAGATCCCTAGTTTCCACCCCCAAATGAATATAATAGGTAGTTTTATTTTATTGTATTTTATTTTTAACAAAGACCCTCTGGATTTTTTTTTCTTTTTCTTTTTAGATGAACGTTTACAGAGCAAATTAGTTTCTCATTAAACAATTAATACATATATTGTTTTGTGTCATTGGTTGCCAACTCCATGAGTCAACACTCTCCCCTTCTCGACCTTGGGTACCCCATTACCAACTTTCCTGTCCCATTCTGCCTTCTTGTCTTTGCCCCTGGGTTGGTGTGCTCATTTAGTCTCGTTTGGTTTTATGGGCCTGTCTAATCTTTGACTGAAAGGTGAACTTCAGGAGTGACTTCCTTACTGAGCTAAAATGTTATCCAGGGGCCATACTCTCGGGGTTTCTCCAGTCTCTGTCAGACCAGTAAGTCTGGTCCTTTTCGTCAGTTAGAATTTTGTTCTACTTTTTTCCCCAGCTCGTCCTGGACCCTCTATTGTGATCCCTGTCAGAACAGTTGGTGGTGGTAGCCAGGCACCATCTAGTTGTACTGGACTCAGTCTGGTGGAGGATGTGGTAGCTATGGTCCATTAGTCCTTTAGATTAATCTTTCCCTTGTGTCTTTGGTTTTCTTCATTCTCCCTTGCTCCAGATGGGGTGGGACCAGTGGAGTATCTTAGATGGCCGCTCAATAGGTAGTTTTCTTTAATAGACTGTTACCTGATCTAGACTCCTGTCCCTTAAGGAGGTTGGTTAGGCTGCCTTCAGTTGTGCCCTAGGAAGCTTTGAACTCCCCCACACCCAGTGGAGGCAGAGTGGACCATCCCTTCCCAGACTCCCAGTCTGCAGAGTGAGATGTGGTTCTGCGGGGGTGGGGCCTGAAGATACCTCTCTACCCAGCCCTGGACACTGGAAAAGCATAATATGTTCACTGCCACTCATGATGGTCTGGCTGAGCAGACAGGGTCCAAAAGAGACCCAACAGGACCAAGGTCTGAGGCTGGTTTCCACAGGGCATTTGGACACTTGATTGGCCTTAACTCATATTGCATTTTTAAAAACAGGTTTATATAATCATCATAAATTTTACATGTGGGCACATAAATAAATCTGTATCAGAAATTAATTTAATTCTGTTTTGTGGTTGTTGCTGAGCATAAATTTAGGTCTCAAGAAGCGTAAAGAAACACAGCATTCATTACACCAGCCTCTACCAAAGCCTCTTTTCTCCAGTTGCCCCTCATATACACACCCTCTGTCTTAGTCAGGTCGGCTTCTTACTGCCCTTGAAATGTAGTGCTTGGCCACATCTCTAAGACAACGTTTACATTATCTCCTCCTCAATCCAAATCCAGCTGGCTTTCATCCCTCAAACCCTAGGTATCCTGGAAGCCTTCTCTGAGTAGCCCCAACACTTCCTCCTCTGGGCTCTCAGAGCACCCAGCATCTGAATTTGGTGTTTTATATGACTCATGTAAGTAGCCTTTTTGTCCCAACTCTAATGCAAATCCCTGGTGCTTCTTCCAAGTTTGGACCACCCCTGTCCCCTCTTCCCCAAAACATACAGGTTAATGCTATGTACATCAAAGGTCCACGGTAAGAGTCCATAGAATGAAAATGCCTACTGTGTTCCCAGCCAGATGCATCAGAAGAGAACAATAAAAACCAAGACTCTTGAGTGAATGAATGCATGAATGAGTGAATGAGTACAAAGGGCCAGTGTTGATTTGTACACACAAAATGCTTTGTTCTTCTCAGAGAAAAGTACCTGGTTTCCCTATCTTATGATGCTCATTTGGAAAAGGTGGTTTCCATTTTCTTAATTAAGGGTGTGGATACTCCTTGAGCTGGAAAAGGAGGGTAAATTAATGAGACCAGGGTTTCCTAGAAAAACCAAAACACCAGGCCTCCCAGCCACCAGCCTTGAAAAACCAGAATTGCTGCTTCAGAGGCGTGGCTGGGCTAAAGAGGTACCCAAGAAAGGAAATTCCCAGGAGAACAAAGAGTTCCCAAGGTCAAGGTTAAAGTGGAGGAGGATTTGGCCTGGAAACTGCTGCCTATGCTACTCAGAGAGCATGGGTAGTAAGCCCTGACAGGCAGAGATCAGCATAGGAAGCCAAACAGGAAAGAGAACTGCACGGCCCCAGTGTGCAAGCCCATATGCACCAAGATGGCATCATGGATCTGCTATGAGAAGCGAGTGCGCCAAACCTATAACCCCAACATCCTTATCTTGGTAATCAGAGCCCTCTACACAATAACCCTGACTTCTCTCTCCCACCTTTTCCCACACAGATCTCTTCCTGTCCTCCAAATAAGCAGTGCACACATTTCTACCCCTTTGCACCTTTGGTGCACATGCTTTGCACTACTTTTACACACACTTTTCCTTTGCACACACCTTTCCCTCAGTGGAAATGGCATCTCTTCCCTCTTCACTTAAATTCTCTCTCTCCTTCAGGGCCAGTTCAAACCCATATCCTCTCTGAAATCTTGCTTAAACAATCCATCTATAGTCCCTCTTCTGAATGCCTGGAGTGTTTAATGTCTATCCTTCTTTTTTGGCTCTTAGCATATACTACTTTGTATCATTAGTTAAGATGTTTTTTTAAAAGTTAGTTAACTTCTTAATGGGTATCTGGATTATGACTATCCTTTATCACCCATAGTGGCTTCTACATTAATGGATGCTTCGGAAAGGGCTGTTTTGTGTATCAAATATATACGAAGTACTCAAAAGGATGCAAAGCCAGATACAGAGTTTTTGCAATCAAGAGCCTATCCACCACTTAGCGAGTCAGTGAAAGACACATGGATAAAACAAACATGTAAGCATGAGGAAAATTAGAGAATAAGACAGTATATAATAAAAGGTCATACAGAGAAAATATGCAATGAATGCACTAGAGAAGAGAGGATAGGCTGGGGTCAATAGCAAAGAGAAGAAATAAGATTTAAACTGGTTGTTTAAAATGATTAGGATTCATACAAGAGAAATTAGAAAATATTCCAAATTAATTAACAGTGAAAAAGCAACACATCAACATTTGTGAGATGCAACAAAATGATGCTTAAAGGGAAATTTGTAGCTCTAAATGCTTATATTAGAAAAAATATATATGTTTTAAAATTTATGATCTGAGCTTTCACTTTATGGAGCTAGGGAAAGAAGAGTAAATTAAACCTATAGTAAGTAGAAGAAAGGAAATAATAATAGTGGAACACAATGAAGTAGAAATGGACAAACAATAGAGAAAACTAATGAAACCAAAAGTTAGTTCTTTGAAAAGATTAATAAAATTGATAAATCCATAGGTACATTGATCAGAGAGAGAGCACAAATTACCAATTTCAGGAATGAAAGAGGTGACATTAAATCAGAGCCTAGAGATATTAAAAG